AAGATAAGAATTAGATAATATAGTTTATGATCAATATCTGTGTGAGGTGAGCTGGCGCATGTATGATACAAGGTGAGGAGCTTACATGGTATCTGGATTCAGTTCAGGGGTTCTCAATAATAATTTATTAATTTTTTTTGGCGGAAATCAGAAATACAACCTTTGGCGGAAAACGGCCATGGTGATAACGGGCTAGGGTCCTTTTGGCGGAAAACGGAAACCCCCAATTGATTAACCATGCCTTATGCAAAATGCGTCTTAATTGAAAAATAAAATATTTGTTTCAAAATAGAATATAATGACAATATTTAAATATAATATATCCTAGACTGACAAATTATCTTCGTTCAGAATCGTTTTTCGTATACAATGATACCTATCATTGCATTCAAATTTAATCCCATTCATTACAGTAACCTACTGTACAGCAGAACGACATCCACGACTTACCCGCTTTTTTTTTTTTTAAAACGTTTTTCTAAATTTTTAGAAAATAGTGTAGGTATTATTTTATTGTGTGTTCATAAAAACAAATTATTTTACATTTTCACATTTTTAAATTTTTAAATTTTACTATTAGTGATGTAGTGTAGATATACAGGTTTAACAAATTTTACGAGCTAATTTTTTTAGAAAATTTTAAATTCTGAGCGGAGCGATGAATGTATTGATTTTACAATGATGTATGAGTTTTTTTTTTCTAAATTTTTCTAAAATAGTGTAGGTAGTCATTTTTTCAGCAAATTATTTAATGTTTTATTATGTGTATACTGTATTCACAAAAACAAATTGTTTTACATTTTATTTTATATTATTTGACTATTTGACTAATGTGTGTGCAGTATATTTGGTGATATTATTACTACTAACGTAATTTATATATTATATTATATTTTTATATTTATGTTTTTATAATGTGTAATTTACTAATTTACGTAAAAACGGATACATTTGGATATTTTGACTGATTACCATAATTAGTGTACCCACTTAAATGGATCACTCGGTATATAGACGCTATTACAATACTAAAATATCATAAATTAGTAGTTACATAGTGTTCTCCTAAAAATATTAATGTCCCACATTAAATTAGTGTCAATTTGAATGTTTGTTATATTATAACTGTAATATAAGCTATATAGTGATGTATAATGTTAAGTTTTTTTGAATATCATAAAGTGTATGTAACAGTGTGTTAAAAAAATAAAAGAGCATCAATAATGACATTGACATCTTCTAACTTAATAACATACATTTAAAAATAGGTAAGTTAAAAATTAAAAATACAACAAAAATATATTTACATTAAATTATACATTGTCATTTTTAAAATACAAAAATAAAGGAGAACAATCAATTGATTTTGACAAAAGCAAAAAAAAAGGGGGTAGGTKTTAAGCATATTTTCAGCTAAGTCGTTTAATTAAGTATGTTTATTATACAGCAAATTTAAATCTAATTTAATATTTATCTATAGGTAAATGTTGATAGTAAAGGCTTAATATCTAATTCAAGGAACCTGATGCGTCTTAAAAAATTGGGGACACTTTACGACGTTGACGCATTCTTCTCACACACAATTGTGACTGTGATAAAGAATAATTTTTTGCACCTTCTGGATTTCTAAAACGATAAAAAAATAATAATTAACAGTTAAAATAGTTATGAACCATTATTTATTAATAATTAACAGTTAAAATAGTTATGAACCATTATTTATTATTTTATTTCTAAGCCATAAATGTTCTGCAGTATTTTTTCTAAGTTTTATGTTTCCAGTTATTCTTATTATTTACATGGTTTTTTCTTGGTTGTATAACTGTTTGATTGGAATAGATAGTGATTCAGATCTTGTTGCTTGTAGACCAATTGCTCTTCTTAAATTGACCATGGAAATATCCACTTGCCGAGGAAGGTGATTATGTTTCCCAGTTGTTTTTATTCTATTGTTATTCAAATCTACACTTATAGATGCCATTACTGGGCAGAACTCTGTTTTATTCTTTTGATTTTCACATACTAAATATCTAAATTAATAATAATAAAAAAAATTATCTAACAAATAAAATATAGATTTAATATAAATAATTTTAAATTGATATACTTACATTATATAGTTCCGACTTGAATGTTTATAATATCTGTGGTGTAAATTGTCCATGTAAACTTGTGAATTCAGTCGGACACCAGGCAATATTGAATATGTAACAGGTACTTTGTATGTTTGAACAATTAAAACAAAATTTAAGTCAGTTAAAATCATAATAYGATTAAAGAAATTTTCTTAATAGGTGAATTAAAATTAGATTTTCAGAATTATATTTATAAACAATATGATACAATTTTGAATATTATGAATTATTTACACAAGCTTAATTTTCATTATTATTTTAGTTTTTGGCAACAAGACTTAAAAATTTAAATCCATGTTTTCTTCGTCTTAAATACATACAACATACCACATTTCCATTTGCTATTATAAATAGGGTACTGTCAGTATTGATATTAGACCTACTATAAAATTTTCAGGTAAAAACATTAACTAACATTTACATTTTTAAGTGAGTTATGAGCATTTTAAAATATTTTAAAAATCACTCTACTCCGGAGTATTGATTGAAAAACCACATACAAAACGCAACAACCTGTCTCAATCCTACATATGCCAAGCTTACGGTCATACGCAAAACTACTGTAGTCAGCAGCTCAGAATCTGAGCCTCAGATGCGTTAAATGCGGCAAAGATCTCTCAACTGATATGTGCACTAAAGATAATAGCCTTTCAGCTAAATGTGAACTATGCTCTGGTGCACATATAGCATCATACACAAAAAACAGACAAAATCCACAAACAAACCAAAAAAGGTAAAACATTAAATACAACAAGGCATCACACATAGTCATGCAACATATTCACCCATCATACGCCGCTATAACAGCTGCCCAACCAATATCCAGTACTACAGATTCAATGTCAAACATTTTAAATTAACTCAAAACATAATTAAATCCATTAATCTCTCGAATAACCGTTATTTTAAGCAAACTCACAACCATATACCCATAACAGTTATTAATTCTAACATTAAATTTCTTATCCACAAATCTCATTAAAATTATCTATAATTCCCATACTATATTCTATTTGTATAAAAACCGAAAATCATTAACTAACCTTGATTAAATTGTAATCTGAAACTTGGAATAGTATGCACTATATGCTGAAATATTTTGATTGTAATAAATTTAAAAATTCCTAACTCATTCTTAACTCACTTAAAAATTAAAAAAAGTTAAAATCAGAACAAGAGAACGTAGATAATTTTCTTAACAAAAAGTTTTATAATAGGTCAATTCACTCTAATATTTTAAAAAAACTGACAACACCTTATTGAAACTAGTGAACAGAAATATGGTATGTCAAACGAGTGTAAGACAAAGAGACAACACATGCAAAATGTGTGTCATATTATAAAAAATATATAAAATTATATTACCATCAAATTCTTTTTCTTTATTGGTATCATCTAAATGTAAAATATCCCTATTTATTTTGAAGTTTATCACTAGAAATATATAAAATAATGATATTAATTAGCTCAAGTTTCAAMATTTATAATGTGTCATTTACTTGGTAAAAAATAGTTGTGTTCTGACAAATGTTGATTATTCCTCTTCTTATCCCAATGAATATTTATATCTGAAACTAATATACAAATAAATACTATATAATGAAAAATTAA